AGATTATATGTCAGGACAGTTATTAAAATAGTACGTTCTCATAACAAGCCAGTCATTTCCATGGAACATTTACCAATACCTTACTGCTCCAATTGTTCTGCAATAGAATTTTGTACCTTTCCTAAATGAATGAAATGTGCAAATGTCATGCCAGTACAACATAAAGTTTCTAGAAATAGTGATTATATTTTTGGATTGGTCTCCAAGAATTGGCAAAGGACATCCCTGTAAGGATGCCATGACTTCTGGCAGTTTTATTGGTAATGTTCTAACTTCCAGTGGAGTTGTATTTTTAAAGATCTCTGGTGTTTAATTGCAGCCTGAGATTTTCTACATTATATAAATGGCCCTCTGCCTGACTTTGTAGGCTAGAATTGCAAATAGGTTTTCTGCTATGGCCTGTGAGACTGCATTCAATCTCCTTTTGCTTTAAACCTTGAAATATGTTTCAACATATTATGCATCGTGTATTATTGGAATGATATGTTTGCTACTAGTTCTTTTTTGTATCATGATAATAGGTTGTTGGGCCCTCAGAACAAGGATCCAGGATCCTTAAATAACTGCCCATCATTTGCATTTAAAAAATAAATAAGGGGGATACGCAGAAAATCACCTGTGAGCTGTGTGGGAACTAAAACAACATTGAAGCCATTAGGTAGGAAAGTCTTGTGTCTGGAAATCCCAGCAGAAATCCTGCTGTTTTGAGAATGTGTGGCTTATGTGGCTTCCTACATAGCTCCATTACAGTTCAGAACAGCATCAGTGATGGGCATGACCCATTAAGAGCGAAACAAACTGCCTACTCTCACCCATATCCTATTATTGTGTGAAGAAGAAAGTACAGAGACAAGAATCCTCCCACACTGAAATCTTAATACCTATGAATTCCCTTTGATCAATACTGCTATAAATACAGCAAGTCCTGGCTCTATCTTTGTTGGGTGCCACCCCCTTATGATTGGCTTAACCCATCATTGCACCAACTTTGTAAAACATTTCTTCTCTTTTGTGTATATATCATGTTTTTACTTTCATATGTTTTATTTCTCAGCCCACCCATCCCTCCAACAGAAACACCCATGTGGGATGTGAGCAAGAACATGTACTCTAATATGGTTTTGGTAGTTCTCACAATGTAATTTTGTCTGTACACTTTTACTTAGTTTATGTATTTCTAGAGTAATGGTGGCATTGTATTTATTAAACTGTTCTCCTGCTGATGTCCCGACAGTGCTATAATTTCATATGGTACATTTGCAAAATATATTCACCTCAGTCTATTAAGTAATACCAATTTTATTTATATTTATTTCAGCCATAACTTCTCATCATACTGAAGAATTTTCATCAGAGCGGGGCATAACATATTTATTACAAAAAGTAATAAAGGGAAGATATGGGAATTGCAACCTTGACTATTTACCAACAAGAAAATTATGGGAAATTATAAGTGAGAATGAAGTTCAAAAATCATATTATAAGGGACAAAACCAATTATCAGTGACTGTTCATAATGAAAATTTTACTGGTAACAGATATCAAGAACAATTAATATCTCAGAAAATACTTCCATTTATGCTTGTTACTTTTCAAGAATTCTGTATGTCTTTAAGAATAAATCTACAGCAATTTTGGAAGCATATATTTTCTCTGAAAGAAAATATGGAAAATCTGAGAAGAGATCTAGTCCATGCTTCAATTTTTAACTTGACCAATTTCAAATGTAGCTTTGAGTTAAACTTCCTTTGGAACATTTCTATAGACAAGAGATTTAAAACTAAAGGACTATCTTCTGAACGTGATTATTTTGAGAGTTTCTTTACAAAGTGTTCATTAGTCGACAATAAACAGATAATTCCTTCATGTGCTGAAGCATACAATTTTAACACTTGTGGGATTGTCCCTACTTACCCACTATTGTTTAATGAAAATTCAGATACAGATTTCTGGAAAACTTTCTACATATGTATTGAAACAAGTAACATCTTTAGCCAGGTCTCTATCCCAGGTTATTACCAGCATATGTATATTACTGATAAAAGTTATGAATATGAAGAGCCTCATAGAAAGTTTATCATTGGTCACAATGCCAGAAAACATCTGTATACTCATTTTCCAAAGATGTTTTGCAAAGATAAAAAGCACGGTAGTTTTTCTCTTCAGTGCTTAAAACTTGTTACCGATCCAAATATTCATAAGCAAGACAAATCTTACAAATATGAGACATATGAAACAGCTCTTAATCCACTTGCAGTCCTCATTCAATACAAGAAAATTTGTACTGGGAAAGAACCCCAAAACTTTAAAAGTTGTATCAAAGTATCTGATTGCCCAACCCTTAGTAAATACCACATATACTACAGCAGTGATAAACCCTGCATGTTTAAAGAATATGACAAAACTTTTAATCAGAAATCACTCCCTGTCAAGCATCAGAGCATCCATGCCCAAGAGAAGCCCTGTAATTGTAAAGCAAGTCTCAAGTTTAACAATTTCTCAACCGTTTCTCAATCCTTGAGATTTCATAACAGTGACAAACTCTGCAAATGTAAAGAATGTGGCCAAGCTTTTAATCAAAGCTCAGTTGTTGTATCCCAGAAAATTGATGTTAATGAGAGCTCTGAGAAATGTAAAGAAAGTTCCAAAGCCTTACAACAAAATTCAACCCTTACTCCAAACCAAAGGGATCATTCTGGAGAGAAGACTTACAAATGTGAAGTATGTGGCAAAGCTTTTAATCGAAGATCTCTTGTTATTCAACACCAGAAAATTCATACTGGAGAGAAACCATACAAATGTAAAGAAATTGACAAAGTTTTTAATGAAAGATTACTGCTAACTGAACATCACAGAAAACATACTGGAGGGAAGCCCTACAAATGTAAAGAATGTAACAATGCTT